GATGCACTTCTGCTCAAACACACTTGAATCGAAAGGCTGATTTTCCTCCCAGGCATGTCAGCAAGTTTTGAAAAGATCTAGTAATTAACCATTCATTTGATTCAGGTGGGTTGGAGTAAGAGAAGATAAAGTGGCTCCTAACAGATTGGCACACCTTCAGCTTTTCAGCTGTAAAAATCAATATTTAAAAAGGATAATGTTCACAGTTTCATTGTTGTGTTACCACAGTCAGAATCTGGTGTTATGAGTTTAATCTTTGCGCTTGTGCTTGGTTTGTTTACAAATCACCTCAGCAAAAATTTACCAATTATTAGTGATTGTTTTTAATCTCAGCCAAATCAACCTGCCAAATCTGTATTAAAATGCATTTAGTGGCGGTAACGGTCTAAACAGGAAGAGGGGAAAATGATTGGGGCCTCATTTCACCTTGGGCCGGCCCTGCATGACGAGCTACAGCCACTGCACTGCGCATCTCTCTGCTGATGTGTGAGACAAACGGGGAGATTTAATTATGTTGCACTAGAAAGGAGAAGGCTCATCCTGTTTTGTGACTGGTAAGTTTTTAATAAGCATCACAGGGGGGGCTGAGTGGTTCAATTGATAAAGTGTGCACACCGTCAACAGAGACTATAGTCCTCAACTCAAATGTCGTGGGTTTGATTCCCGGCCCTTTATCTCACTTCCTTATTTCCTGTCTAATTACTGTTCAATAATGGCCACTAGAGGCTAAAAATCTTTTTAAAAAATTTAAAACGGGCCACAGAGGCTATTTGTTTTTATAAGGCGGCCTTTACTGAACGAGTATTTCTGATCTCCGTTCTTCATTGTCAGCTGGCTGGCCCTGTAGCGCTCGTTCAAGTGTTTAAAGGTCCACTCTGCAGGCGCATGCTGAGGTCTGCCTGACTGGAGATCAGGAGAGGCAGAGAAGGCATTTGATATGGCGCAGTCTGGTGCATTTGTGGCCCTGCAAAACAAGAACGTGCTGTGTGACTGTGGGGCAGCTTCTCCACGGGTTTAACCACCGGCCCACTAACCCATCGGCCCACTAGGGAAATCTCCGGTAGTCCTGTATGCCAGTCCACCCCCTGGTCAGAGCAGGGATGCATCCAAAAGTAGCAGGATACCAGCACTCAAGGAGCTGCAGACCCTGGCACTAGATCCCGCTAGTCTTGCAAAAGATGTCGCGTGACAATACAAATGTTAGAAGTCGACCTCACAGATTTGCACCATTTCCTTGTTTTGGTCCACACACCTGCAGGGCAACTTTTTCACAAATACATCTCAGGTTGTTGATGTTTTTTGGAGCAAAATTATTAATTTGGTTTAAAATATCATTTATGAATAGTTTTTCACAAATCTTTTATCAGTTGCATCTATACTTTTCATTTCACCTTTTTCCCAACAAATACTCATGTTATGAGTACCCCACATGTATATAGTAATATAGTGGTGCCTAAACAAATTCACAAAGGTTCAGTTCTATATTAACCATTCCTGGCTTTTGTCAGGCAATCTGGCAAAAGATACAGAAGACTTGATGATCATCCTGTCACTCACTGGAGATAACACAAAGTTTAGAAATGTTTAGGTGATACAGGAGAACCAGAATTTAACTAGTTTATGAAAAACCTCATTAAATTACAGAACTATGGTATGAAAAAAAGTCCCTTTGCGCTACATAAAATGTACCACAAACAATATGTAATAAATCCAAAGCCACAGTCATGTGGAAGCATTGTATCATTAAAACAGTGTACACTGAAACACTGACAGCATAAAGTTTACACTTAACACTCATACTGGACTCAAGGTTATTCAGTTAAAAAGATACAGACTGGCTAACTGTTATAGCCAACATATTGACACACAACATTATTTTCATATTTAGATAATTTAAAAAATATTTTAACAAATGAAATTATTTGAGTTGAAAAGCATGTAGGATGTCTTCAGCTCAAAGCAAAATGCTCAAAAAGGAAACAAACTGACATAATCAGCATCAAGTACAAGGCACGTGATTTTAAAAAAAGTTAACTGCAAAATATTAAGACATTTTCAGCACAGCAAGAATGCCACGATGTAAAACACGTTCTGAGTGTGCGCGTAGGCAGATTTCAGAGAAAGAGGGAGAGAAAAAGAGAGAGAGGGAATCTCTTTCGTATCAGTTTCAGAGGAAAAGCTGTGCAGAATCAGACTGCATGCATGACGTGTACACACACACACGCACACACACACACGCACCTTTGGTCTTACTTATGCGCTCATCCCTCTGTTTCCACTTTTTTCAGTCCTCCAGGCCGCCATTTTGTGACTTCTCAGCAGAGAAGAAAAAAAAATCCCAAAATGTCCACCATCCAAAATGAACTCGGTAAAAGAAAACTTCAATCGTACTCCATTTCTGAGAAAAGGAGTGGGGGGAAGGTGTTTAATTCCACCGCATGGTTTTAGTTTAGCAATGTTTCCTCTTGTAATTTTATATGGAATTCAGTTTTGCAGCTTTCTGTCTTGAGGATTTGTGCAGAGATTTGATCAGTTTTCCTCGGCAACTTTATGAGCTTTGAGAAAACTCATTCCTCTTTGAGTGGCTCTGGGCCCATGATAATGTCATCTCACTCTCCTCCCCTTTTCAGAGATTTGTGTGCGATAGAGGCCTCCGTAAGAGACCAAGCGCTAACCTTTACTGCATTGGCTCACACTTAATCCCCTCACCCTGGGGTGACTGGCATACACACACACACACACACACACAGTGCAGAAAGCAGTACAGTGGTACCACGCCCTCCCCACTGGTCGTTTATTGTTGAGTCATCTAAATTCCATGATCTTATTTTAAGATAAAGTATATCACAAATTAATGATATTTTCTCCAATGCAGTGATTTACACTTAATGTATTTTGACTCTTTACTTGCCTTATTTGATGAACTGTTAGGTATAATACTCTAGACTCACTAAATACATGTCTATACAAAGAGAGTTGGGCAAAGTTGAATTTGTTCTCATAATCGGCTGCTGTAAACTGATGTGTTTGTGTTTCAGTTTCTTTATCAAGACATCACAGAAAGAAAAAGCTTAACATAAATCTAAACTCTTCATTTAATCAGCATTAGATGCTGAGTGTTTCCTGGATTAACAGTCTTTCTCTTCTGTCATTTATTCATTAACTCCAGTTGAGGTTTTGCTTTGTTTTCCTAAATATGGATAGTTTTCCTTTAGGGAGCCTTAAACTTTCCCCACAGAAAAGGTCCAGAGGCGCATTTTCATTTTAGCGATGTTACGATTACCAAACAAAATGCTGAAGGCAGTAAACGGTGGAAATAACTTTAAATGAAAAGTACTGACAAAAAGTAATAGTTTTAAATTGATCTGTAAATGAACAACTTTTAACAAAATCCAACATGGATCCTAAGGCGTCGTCATCCACTGATGTTTCCTCTGAGGATTTATAACCCAGGCAGTAGAGTTCCAGCAATAAGCTTTAACCACAATATGACTGAAAATCAAAGATAAAGCAAGGAGGTTAATGATCATCTTCAGAACTTAAAATGGTGTAAATATATTTTCAGTCTGTCCCAATTAAAGCTTTTCATTTAGCAGTTGTTTTTTTTCTGCCTCAGTTTTGAAACAGAATATAAAAGGCATACAGATCCACTGCTATTACATAAATGTTTGGTTCAGTCATTTTAACACCTTGCTCTTTGAGTTCTAGTTAATTATTTTTGCCTCATGTTCTATGAGCAGCAGTGACTGAACTAGCTGGTTTTAAGGGAACCATGGTCAGTAATTTATGACCGACCAGCTATCCTAACACACACAAGCTTAAATTACATTTTTTATTTTTTGCTTAAACCTAAGCAAGTCCTCAGCTAAATATCAAATTTGCCAATCTTACGAAAAATGTTGCCACATTTGTTATGGCAACAATAAAAACTGTTTTATTAATTGAATAAAACTAAATAATTTGTCCTAATTTTATAAATGCAATATGAAGAAAATATTCCAATCTATCTGGTAAATCTAATCCTTTGCTCAGACATTTGTTTACCCTGGTTAAAATAAAAAAACATCATAAGTCTGTTTCAATCACCCATATTTTATATGAAAAAAGCCTAAAATTGTCCAAGAATCATATTTTAAATCTACATATGCTTAACATTTTATTACTATAGTAAAGTACTATTAGTTAATACTGTTAATTATGTATTGATTAACCTTGTTAGTTATATGACTGCCACCAGTTTGCAGTTCTTCTATGTCATGATCAGGCTAATTAAATACAGCTAACACAGACTCACAAGAATGACAAGAAAAAAGAAAATCTGTTTTCACGATGGTAAATTTTCTCCTGATCAACGTTTTGTGTTTTGGATTGTGTGGCAGATCGCAACACACACGCAATAATTCAAATTTTAAAACACAGTTCCATTCAAAGTTACATGGAGTCACTAAATGTACACATTCATTCACACGTGTATTTGTGTCTTGTGTTTCCCCTCAAAAAAAAAAGACATTGTTATCCACGACTTAAAGCTCATACATGAACACACCTCCACTACACAATCACACAGTGTGGCTCTCAAACACACGCTCTGTCCTTGATACCCTCAGTAGGAGGGTGGGCTCTGCAGACAGGGTGCCACGTCCCTTAGTGGAGCTTTGGATTATGGGATAGCAACATGAGGTAGGCAGAGAAGGTGCAGACAATGAAAGAAAAGCGGAGAGGAACGAAAGATTAAAAGAACAGGCAGATTGGGGGAGCAGGGCAGATGCGACAAAAAAAGAATGAAATTCATCAAAGAAAGAGACTGTGATTTAAAGAAAAATCTTTATAGTTAACAGAGAAGCAAAGAAGGAGAAGAGGGAGGAGGGGGGTTGGGTACAAAACGCAGAAGTATGGATGACTATAGAGCAACGGATATGCTAAATGAATGAAAGTGAAGATGAAGTGAGGATGAATATGGAAAAAAGAGGATGAAACCAAATGAGCAAATAAAGACTTACCATGTGCTGTTCCCCACCGTTTCACTCCTTCAGAAGTTCTGCGCTGAAAGTTGGAAAAGCTGCCGAAAAGGTGAGAGAGGAGAGAGGAGAGTCAGAGGTGGCCATTCATTTTTTAAAGGAAAGAACTGAATTAAAACATACTAAACCCAATTAAAGTGAGTGAAACCCAAACCCAAAAACTACAAAATACTCAAACGATACAACCACATATTTACATGTACTGAAGTGATTGTCTTGATTTTTAACATTGGTGTTTATAAGCAGCATGTGGCGAGTCTATTACAGAATATTATAAATTAAATGGATAAAGACGCTAAGAGTCTTTATCATAAAAAGACGAGTCAAAATTTCTGTGTCAAAGACACACACTGCAGTAGACACACAAATGAACATTGTATGCACAATGCAGAAAGCGGTGTGTATACATTTGAGTGAGTGCAGAAACTGACCTTGCATGTGTGCATGTGTTCGTGGCACAGTAACGCTAAATGATAGCCTTCTAGCGCCATCTACTGATGTTAGTGTTATTAAATAGATTCTGAAGGAGAAACTCAACTTCATGCAGCAGCAGGCAGGTTTATTTAAAATGTGGGAAAAACAATTGAAATTATTTTTTTAGTATATTGAAAATGAAATTATTTTCTGTTTACTTTCCCTTTGTTTATTTATTAAAGTTTTACAGTTAAAAAAAACATTTAGGTGATGCATAAAATACATATATCTTTGATAAGGAAGGTAAAACACAAACTTTAATTTTTCCACATAATGTCTTAGATTCGTTGAAATGCTTTTCTACATAAAATTTGCAGAAATTGATTGAGGTCATGTGCAGGAAATGGTTTAAGATGGTGGACTTTGGGTTATAAAAGTTTCTTTATCAGCATGTACTTTATAAAAATATATATTAAATTATATAACAAAATATAAAATATATATTCAGAGAGAGTATATGGAGTATATCTAACACAGGCATAAAATATTTCAGATCTCTGCAACCCAGTTATAAATGATGATACATATGCAAACATCAAAATCTCATTGAGTTCAGCTGTGAAATTCCTCCATCCACACAAAGTTACATGATCACTCAAACACACAAGTGTTTAATAGAGCTTCAGTCTTTGTGTTTTGAGTGATTGAATCTTGGAGGAGATGAGAGCTGAACTCAAGTGCTTGAGGAGTGTTTCAGATCCAGGAGCAAATAATCAGCTCTGTTGGTGGTAGATCTGTATATTGCATGCCCTGTACTTGGAAGTGTTGCGTACAGGCAGAATGACTTATGACGCATTCACATTTCTTCATAACCATGGATATTATTTGAAATACTGCCAGATAAAAACAGGTACTCATCAATTCATAAATGTTTTCAATGAATTCTGAGGGAGTGTGTAAATTTTACCTAATATTAAATTCTAAACGTGTGCGCTTGAACAATGCATTTCTTGCCAAGTCTTTGCTTGATGATTTTAAAACCAATCGTCAGTGGGATTTATTTTTTCTAACATGCTAAATTGATCACTGTAATGCTCGGCTCTCTGCTCGCTCTAAGCAAAAACAATTTCACTGCAGATATCAAAAAACCCAGCCAGAACAATGTTGAAGAGGACCAGGAGGAGAATTCATGTCATATTGATTTTAAAGACTGTCGTGGCTTACTGTGCATTTTGAAATTGATTTTGTTGTGGTTTGATATATTTATATATTGGGTGTTTTCCCTCAGGCTTTAAAAACACCAGTTGTCAAACCACTAATAAAAAACAATCAGGACAAGTCACTATTGCAGAATTACAGGCCAATCTCCAACCCTTCATTCATCAGCAAAAATACTGAGAGCGCCGTTTCAACTGTTAGTTTCTTATCAATGACCAAATGCTTTGACAGTGACTCTGGTTTCCATGCTCGTCACAGTCCTTAGTCTGCCCTCGTCAAAGTGTTCAGTGACATCCACATGAATACAGGCTGTGGAAGAACCAAGGTCCTGGTTCTGTTGGACCTCAGCACAGCCTTTGACACCGTTCATCATTACATATTACTAAAGCGACAGGAGAACTGGGTCAGACTCTCTGATCCAGGGCTCCACTGGTTGGAATCTTGCCTAAAGAACAGGGACTTCTTTGTGTCATTAAGTCACTTCTCATTGAAGCAGACAAAAGTCACGTGCGGGGTTCACCAAGGCTCAATCCTGGGTCCCCTCATACTCGATATCTACATCCTCTCAGTAACTCAGATTATAACAAGTAAGAATAACTATGCAGATGATACACAGCTCTACATTACAATATCACCATGTGACTCAAACTCACCCAAGTACTGAACAAATGAGTAAAACAAATCAATGTATGAACAGAAACAAAACTGTTGTTCACACAGTTTTGTTTCTGTTGAACAGAAGCAAAACTGAAGTTATTATATTTGGACCTAACACATAGTATATACCTTAAAATACTTTTGTTTTTAAATCCCTGAATGGGTTAGCAGACTTCTTTTTTTAATCAGCCTTCTGGACCACTCAGGTCTTCTGGTTTTAGTCTGCTCTGACTAAAACAGAGAACTCTACCAAACAGAGAAGCAGCATTTTATGCTCCACTAATCTGAAACAAACTTGCAGCAAACTGTGAAAATGCTGAAAAACAGTTTCTTTAAATTGAGGATAAAAACCCATTTGCTTAGAGTTCTTTGCTTGTTTTATGTTTGGTTCCTGTATTGTGTTTTTTTTATCATGCAAAGCACTTTTAACTTCCTTGTTGCTGAAGTGTGCCATACAAACAAACTTAAAACTTGACATAAAATCATTCATGGTTTTTGTCCAACCTATTAATAGTTAGTTTTTACCTTTTAAGGCCTCCAGATCTTCCAGCTCTTCTGAGAAGATCTGCTGTTACTACCTACAATTGAAACGAAAACTGATTTTAGAATTTATCAATATACAATATAAATGTGCTGGGTTATGTTTTATTTGTCTTGTGGTTAAAGCTGAATGAGTCTTACAAAACCTTGGTCAGAGCAGCAGAAGCCTTTACTTTAAATGATTGTACTCCTGACTATTTAAACATTTTCCTCTAACTGCATGCAATAATTTGTTAAAACTAAAGTTTACTGAATGCCACAGTACCTCAATTTGTTTGTAAATCTTTTGAGACCTTTGCTTTAACATTGTTACTCTGAGTCTAAGTCCTAAGAAAATTGCTCTATTGTGTATTTTCTGCCTCGCTTCTATATTGAATTTTTATCTTGGTGCGGATTAGAGATAAAGTAAGTGTTATGGGAATTTGTACCACTTTCATTCTACAATCTGAATGTTAAATAGGCTTTTTTTTAAGAAGCTATTAAAACAAGGAGACTTTCCGCATTTGCAGAGACTGAGTGAGAAAGTTGCTGTAACTTGGGTTGTATTCGTATTTAGTGGTTGGAAGGAGGAAGCAGTAATATTCAGCAGGACAGTCAAAAACTAGTACTAGGAACTCTACAATGTCTGCCTACACACTTTTTATCAATCTTAGAAGATGAACAGTACTTTGAGTTAGCAAGATTAAAATATAAATTTCAGATAAATTTCAGATGTCCATCAACAGGTTTTGTACATACTTGTGAAATCACTAGTCGATACCTTATGCTGTCTTAGAGAAACACACATTTATATCTGATACAGATATTCATCTAAGTTTATGTTGGCAACCTGTGGATTGGGAAGGAATCACAGGAAGATCAACCTTAGCTGAATATCCAAATTAAGATTTTCAACCTTAGTTTAGTTCTGTTGTGTGTTTTACCTGTTGTAAAACTGCTGTTTCTCTCCACTGTCTCCCTGTAATTGCCAACCATGGAGAAATGCACTAAATGATTATATTTAAATGACCAAATCTATTCTTTAATTATATAAATCAAGAAATTTGTATAGCACCATCTAAAACAACTCTAGTTCCACAGCACTGTAACAAATTAAAAAACTAAGAAATGTATTTATGTATAACACAAAGAATAAAGGTAAAACAAAACATTAAAATCGGCTATAATAATGTAAAATGAATCACAGGTATCTCAAAAAAGGTCTCAAAAAACAAATAGGTTTTTAGCTTAGATTTAAAGTATGTGGTAGGAAAATGGTAGGGGCAGCACACATGGAAAGGAGTTTGATTTGATGGTTTGCTCCGTTATTTGTTTTTGCTGACTACCATTTACGTGTTCGTAATTTGACTGAATGTGAACATTAATTAAGGTTTTTAGCTTGCTTATGAGCAAAGTTGGACATAACTTCAACTAGTAAATTGTTGGTATGTGTAGAATATCCATAAACATCTGTTATACGTCATACTGCACGTATGTTGGTTCAAGGAACATTTATGACAATGGTCTATATAAGATAAAAATAAAATAGAAAATAAATAATAATCAAGTAAATCATATGTGTAAAACTCAGGTCAAATTGGCCCAGAGTGTAAACACATTTGGCAATTGGAAGTGTCTATTAGGACTGCCCCAATAGCAGCACAGTTATAGCAAATACAAATCCCAGAATGCTCTGCTGGTGCAGCAACATGTCAAACAGGATCCACACCCTGCACTCCTCTGCTAAAATCCATCAGCAAACTTCATGTGACCAATCACTTCAGGTCAAAAAAGGAAAATAAATCCCCCCCAAAAAGGTGGAAAACAAAACAATACAGCTATCTGTTTACAAAGGTAAATGACAGGAGTTGTGAAATGTTTTTCTCATGTGAAACATTGTATATCAAACACTGTATAATTGCTAGATACGTCTTAATCCCTACAAAAAAATTTAACTGTTTTGTTTGATGTTCTTACTATGAAGGTTAAAAAATGAAGTGGAGCTTTTTTTTTTAAAATAATTTAGTTTGTTATTTTTTTTTTCAGTCTTCTACTCCTTGCAAAAGCAACATTTTGTCTTTAAAATCCACCTATGTAGTTCAGCACAGTGATGCTCGTCTTTCCATTCAACACAAGCTCACAGCTGTACCTCTCCTTTTTCCTCAATTCCTGAGAGTAAGGGGAAGAAGATGCTAGAATATAGAAAAAAGCAACAGAAACTTTTCAGAACCCAGCGGTGTAGGTTGAGCACCTTACTCCCACTGCTCTCAGTGCATCAGAACTATGGACAGAGATTCACCAGTGGAGCCCTGTTCTCAGTTCCACTCTGCTACCCAGGTGCAGGGGTACCACTTGTGAGCCAAAATAAAGTTTTGACATGCATACACTTTTATAACCTGGTCTGCTATATCTGCTCTAGTGCATTATGGAAGCAATGCATGAGTTCTAGCTCCTCAGAGAAAATAACGCTCTCTTTTTGTAAAGGTTGTGGGTTGTTTTTATGCATCCGTTTCTCCCCCAGAGCACTGCATGGTTGTGATGACAGAAATTTAATCCCAGTAGTTTTCTGGGTTTGAACAAGGCAGCATGTCCACACATAGTCGACCCTCTCTTGCAAGTCTTTACCCAAGTGGAACCACTGTCAAATAAAACTTTGGTCCAAGAAATAGCAGAAAGGAAAAAAAGCCTCTGGTGGCAAGTTTCTTTTCCTACTGCGAGGGAGCACAATGATTTGCAGTGTTAGGATGATGCTGTAGGCTTATATATTGGTCCTTGATAAAACTGAAAATAAATAAATCAGTCTGGCTCCAGATAGACTAGTCCATCGCTGGTAGGATGTGGACTCCTGTCTGACCAGGCATTATCATTTCATTTTCATTATGTTATATATAAGATATCAGAATGAGAATAAAAAGAAATCATTCCAACTTCTTATTGTGCAGCAAGGCCTGTTAACTCCTTAACTCAGAAAATGTTCCCAACCCTGCATCCCAGATATTACATCAACACTGGATAATACAGCAAGTCACATCCAATGATGCTGTCCAGGGCCACAGAATTGGAGCCAATATGTGGTGACAGGAAAGTCGAGCTGGTAAAGTCCTGCTTGGTGGATGAGAACGGGAACACAGGTCACAAATTGGAGTGGCTGTGTTTCCCTGGATCAGTTTTACACACACTGCAAAATACTCACAAATAAGTGATAATATTGTTGTCGTGATTTTCTAAATAATTGCCATAATCTACCACAATTGATCCATTGTAAAAATGCAATGCATAGTAATTATTTATTCAAAAAAATACCACTCTGTACCTCAGAAGACAAACAAGTAGTGTTATGGTGTGCATGAAATGCAGATATTAGTTACCAAATAAGCGAATGCATAGTTAACCCTTTGGAAGCCTTCAATTGGAAAGAAAGTGTCATGTTGACGGTTAATGGAGAACGACCCACAAACAGAAGTGGCAAGAGCAGCAAATAGATTTTAATATTTACTGAAAAAATGATGAACAAGAACTTACAATAAACAATGGAGTACACAGGGAGCGAGACTAGGGGCAAACAAGGACCAGATACATGGAGTTTATCAGGGTAAACAGAAGAATTCAGCAAGGAGTGAGGCAAATAAATACTGGGAGAGTGAATGTCAAAACAACAGACCGGGACTGATTAGTTAATGGTTTGCAGGTGTGAAGGGAGAGAGCCGAAGGCAGGATGAGAAGACAAGGAGAGAATGACAGAAAGGGGCGGGGAAGAGTAAACCGAGGAACCAGGAATTAAATCTAAAGACAAAAATTAACTCAGTACAAGAAGTAATTAAAGAGAATCTAACTTAAAAATAACTATGAATGACTGAACTACTCTAATGATTGTATATAAGATTTACAAAGACGGGACATGGCACAACAATAATGAAGAAACAGATGAACAGACAGAACAAAAGGGGTGGGAGCAACCAAAGAGGCTAAAACAATGGTACCAATAAAACCAAGGAGAAATGTTATTATAGTAATTACATTAACACTTAATGCTGATGATAACTAATAATAAGAAAAAATAAAAAGACACAAAGAGTATGAAAGAAAAAAACGACCATAGAAAATTTGTGGGAGGAGCTCCTGAGCAGGGCCAAGAAAAGGCTGGAGGCAAAACGTGAAGCAGCACAGTGGAGACACAATAAATGCATCCAGTCGTGACCAAGAGATCACACAGAACCATGGAAAAGTTAGCTTTTACTAAAAATGGTCTTCTCATTTAAAATTCTTTGAGAGAAAAAAAAAAAAAAACAGTCGACCTTTCCTATGTGTATGCCACATTATATACACCCAAGGAGGAAATTAACACAACTAGTAAAGACAACTGGAGGTTGTTGACCATAAAAGAGTAAAGCTGGGTATCGCAATAAAATCTGCCCAACTTCACTGGGACGCTTTCATGACAAACTGTTTCTGGATAATGACTTTCTTTATGGATGAAACAATCTTTTTAAAGCAATTCCTTCTAAGGAAAAGGAATCTGAAATGCAGATTTCTGTCTGTGTCAGTGTCTCTGCTGATATCCCATGAGGTCACATGATAGAGGCATAATGGAGTCATAGAGCATGGATGATTTGCTCCTGATATTCAATATGATTCCCTCTTTTCCCTCGCTCACTGTGTCTGAGCACTGTGTAATGACTCTTGTTAATTTCTCAGGGGAAAAGCCCTAATAAGTGATCATTGACAAAAGGATTTCTATGGAGATGTTCACATTATCTCTACTGAGTCGCCTGACGCGGCCAGTTTGTCTCTCGCTGCATGTCTGTCACTTCGTGATTATAGCGCCACTCATATCGTCTACTGCAGCCTTAGACATTTGTATAAAATTTATTACTGAGTTTTACAACTAGACACTGAAGCTGCAGTACATTTTGGAGAGAAGTTTTGAATATTTGACACAATACAGGCATGACTGTCAACTTTAATAACTTTTTTTCAATCTCCAACAAGTTCAACACTTTTTCTTTGAGTTTTTGTTCTGAAAATTAAAGTGCTGTTTAATATATATATTGATTCCAAAATTATTAAATTGGTCATTTTAATTAAATTTTTAATCAAATATATAGTAAAATAATGCATAAAAATTAAAGTTATTATCTCCACGCATTTTTTTTAGGAAGTATATTATTAAATTATTTAAACTGCTGCTATGTCTAAAGAAAAAATGTACTCTGATGGGTTACCCTGCACAGTAGCTAAGACGCTGACCTGTCATTTTCTCTACAGCATTGAGAGATAAAATAAATGTCTGTTTTACAGTGCATGACCAGAAAGTAAAAACGACTAAAGGGTTTTTTGGGGGGAGAGAGGTTTGGGGGTTTTTATACATACATTTTTTTTTATTTAAGATAGAGATATTAATTGATTAGAGGGTTTATTTATCTCAAAGTACAAACTAAAATTTCGAAACTTCTGGATTTATTGAACTGTAGGATGATTGGCTTTCCATAAATGCTGGGTGATCCAAACAAGATCTTGTGTTCACCAAACAAGGAACAATTGGATAGAAAACTTTACAGTTTTTGTTCATTTTCCTTCACCAAGCATTTTCTGCCTTCATGCATCTGCCATAGAGATGCAATAGAGATGTGAAAACCTTGATATTGGCTTCTGAAAGAATACTTGTCATTTCTAAACTCCCATCAAAACACACTTTTAAATTAGATTTCACTTTGGATTGTTTGTATCCGTTTTCCTTACTATCTACTTTAGTATATTAATGTGAATACAAAAGGTAAATTATTGATTCTTTATGTGACCAGATGCAATAATATAATTCAATTTCTAGCTGAATTCTTAAAATTGTTAAGAATTCCGTAGAATTTAATCTTCAGAATAAATATTTCATGAAACGGTCCTCCGTATTCCTTTAAGTGTGAAATCAGGCTTCCTTACAAAAGCTAAAAATAATATTTTATTGAGTCAGACTGGTATGATTTTAATATATAGGTATCATTTAGCTCATCACTAAGGAAGTATGAATGGATGGGTATAAATTATGGCAAAAAAGTGACATGCACAAAAAATTCAGCTGGAGAAACCTAGATGTGTTTATTACTCCAAGTTGTTCTGTGTTTTTTTCTTACTTTACCACATGAATCCTGCAAAAATAAATCTGAAACTGCAAATAAGCAACCATTGCTTGTTTCCACATGCATGTGGGTTTGTATGCACAGAAAGGCAATACAAATATAATCTGTGCTGACTGGCAAACACCACTGCTTTTTCATTGATGACAGAAAAAACACAAACATGGCTGTCGGTGAACCAGTCTGTCTGAGCCATACAGACTTATATTATTTCTCCCTGACCTTCTATCATTAGCTTGAGGTCTTATGTTGACCCAGTACTCTCAAAGGAAATCACACACATCAAGCCCCACGCAAGATTGTTACGGTTACTATTTAGAGATGGAGTGAATCCATGTTGATAGAGATTTGGGAAGGTGTGGTTTGGGTCATGGGTGAAACTTTGTTATGTGGACATGCATTACTGCCTGTGGTGTTATATACAGATGGTCTGCAGAGACAAATTCTGGCATTTATGAGATAAACGGCAACAAAACATGCCATGTTAGCTAAAAATAATAGCAAATTAAATCCCGTTACTGCTGTCAACAGCCTTACTAAATATATGCATCCATGTATTGAAGCAATTTAATCTGCATACACTACTTGAAAAGACAGCATTGTTTTTAATATATTCTAATTAGGGGTATCTGTTAACCGATTTTCTTAATTTTGGGAG